AGAGAGAGAGAGAGAGAAAGAGAAAGAAGAAGAAGAAGAAGAAGAAAAAGAAGCGATCACAATTACGAGAGATCATTCAAATGGAGTTGATCGAGTTGGATCAATCTCCTCGAAAAAAACGAACGATGTTCAACACCGATTAATTCGGCAGATCGTAGTCGTTCCTCGATGTCCGTCGATTAGTCGAATTTAGAACTAAATAGAAGCAGAATGAAAAGTAAAACACGAAGAAAAATAAATAGGCGACGATAATAATTCTGCCTTAACGCTGTTCGTGAGAATACGATCTACTCTTGTGAGTTAATCATATATATATACTTTCTAATTAATTCCCCCCTCGATCGATCGAGCCGAAAATCGAAAAAGACCGAGTTTATATCTCGTTCACGTGCTGATGAATATTGTACGCCCTTCCACCTCTCCTCGACTCTTTCGGCACCACGGCCAGGTGTTGGGGCTCGATTTTCATTCGATCGACCCTTCTCTCGTCCGAACTCTTATCCGACGAGTACAAGCCGGGGGGTTTCGAATAAACGAACGTCGTCTCGGCCCCGCTCGATTGGCCGATCGTCGCCGAACCCCTCAACACGTTGTCCTGAGCGCTGAGCAATTGCTTAAACCGCTCGTCGCTCTTCTCCTCTTGATCCCACCGAGCCCGAGCAGACCTTGAAGTGGTGGAACCGTTCGCCTCCTGTTGCCCGTTCTTCCCGCTCGTCACGTTCAATTTCGGATTGAGATTGAGGCCCAGCCATTGGGAAAACAGCGCTATCCCTTGCTCGGCGCTCGCCGACACAGCCGCTATGAATTCCTCCGTGTTCAACGAGTCTTCCTCCTCCTCCCCGCTCTCGCCCGCTTCCGCTGTCTCGATGGCGCTGCGATTAAAATTCGGTAATTGCACGAAGATACGAAAGGAATGGTGACACGTGACGAATGAATCGTCAGGTGGAAGAGAAATTTTCAGGATCGTACTCACGGAGGTGCCTCGATTTGGCGCACCACCTGATTGAAATTGAAGCATCCCATCTGGTAAGTGGCCTGCGGCGTTCCCAACAGAGCTGGTTCGATCACCAGACAACCGTCGTGGCCCGCTTCCGTCTGCTTGATCCACGTAAATTTCGCGCATATCTGCGCCAAGTCTGAGAGAAGGTTCATGCAAGTCGATCTATTGGCCGCGTCCACTGCAGAACAAGGTTCGTGTTCAATTAACGTTCGATTAGGATGTGAAAACAGACTTGGAAAAAAACAAATCCGTCTCACCGATCTTGATCGTGGCATTGTGCACGGGATTGTCGCCGTAGCTGAGATTCAACGAGACGTTCTGCTCCTTTTGCCTCACGTTGATGCACGCCGGCCGCCCAGATCGAACGTCGCGGTCAGATTCAGATCGATGCAGCACAAGCAATTGGACGTTTGACACAGGCATTGAGATTGGGGATTGGTCGATCTGCCCACGGCGTCTGGAAAATCCCAGGAGAGCAACGTCTCTGTCGACGGAAAAATATAATGTAGAAGACACGAAGGAAGGTGTTGCTCGAGAAAGAGAAATTGGAACGAAATTCGGAGAATCGAAATTCGTCCGTGGTGATTAAATATATCCGTTCGCGAATTCCATCGCGTCGGTTCGATGCCCGGGACGTTCCTCCCCGACGTTTTCCCTCCGCGCTTGTTGTTTGACACCGTTTCGACTTCCACTCCGCCACTTCCATTCCTCTCCGTGTCGAAAAGCTTGCCTTCTTCTTCTCTCGAAACGGTAAACAAAATACGCGTACCGTTTTTAAGTGTGCCGCGTTGATGGGTCGAAAAGATGCCTATCCGCCAACTTTCTCGCGTTACTGGGACAAGTATGTGTGTGCGTGCATGCGCGTATGTGTGTTGCAACATGACGTCGACTTACGACCAGTCGTTCGTTGGAACTTTGAAAATTCAATCTCAAACGGTTATCTATCTATACGTACTAATTAAAATCGCGAAACACGTACATCGCGACATCACGTTCGAAAAAACGAATTTCGAATCCCCCGAAAGGGATGTCTCGCGGAACAAGGCCTCGATTGATACGCGACACGTTGAAACTTTCTTGTTTATTCCGTCGTGTCGTCGAATCGAACACAGCGGTACTCGGTCCACGAATATATTCCGACGTTTCCTTCCTTCCTTCCTTCCTTCTTTCGGCATCTTTTCGGATGTGATTCGGCAAAAAAGAAAAGAAAAGAAAAGGAAAAAAAAAAGGAAAGAAAAATCGAAAAGAGAAACGTGTTGAACACGAGAGCGTAACTGTGCGTGATGATGATCCATTGCTCACCGAGCAGTCCGGCGGAGGACACCACGACGAAGACGGTGGTCAAGAGCACCAGGATCGTGAACCTGACGGCCATCACGGTTGTCCCCGTTGTTTCTCTTCCGATGCAGATTACTCGAACTCCTCGGGCTCCTCGCGGTGTTGCTCACGATCACGGGAGGGAAAAACGAGCACGTTGGAAAAGTTGAGAAAGAAACTCAAAAAGGATTCACACGCGTTTCGAAGAGGAGATCCTGCCCAGCAAGGAAGAAGCTTAAATCTGGGCACAAAGCCGGGCGCGGGTCTTGGATCGGTGATCGGCTGGCGGTCGGCACGAAAACTGGCGACAGGATTGGCCACGGCGACGATGAGGTGCCACGCCATTGGCCGAAGTGCGGAGGTAACGACGGGCAAAGAACCTCATCTGGGTGACCGGGTGACCTCCTTTGCCAACCTGGTACCAGGAGAACTTATGCGACTGTCCCATCTACCGATCCTCTGCTCCGGCCATCGAGGGGGGAGAGGGGGCCGACAAAAAGTCGGTGCTCTTCTTTTTCCACGATAACCAAGATACACCGTTTAGATCACGCAATAATACAAACACCATCCTTTTTTTTCTCCTCCATCTGTTTCTTTTTTTTTGTCTTTTTTTATCGCAACGATTCTTTTTACGGAGGAAGAGTTCTTATCGTCAATCATATATTCAATAACGAAAACGTGAAAAGTGGAAATTCGCGGGGAATATTGCTTCGATAAATCTTGATTTTCGGCAGATCTTGGTTCCGGATTCTCGTGGAGGAAGATCTGGATATATAAAGTTTTTTACTCTCCTCGTGTCCTTGTAACCTGGATCGTAACGAACGATGATAATACGCGTGGATATAAAGAGAATATAACGCCTTCTCAGACAGACGAATCTTTACCGTCAATTGTATATTTTCATTCGGTCTAAACGCGTTTTCCGGCTTTCTCTGATCGATCGTGTCTAATAAATAAAAAAGACATTAAACGAAAGGGGAAGGAAAAGCGTACGCTTGGTTGACCGCAACAGAGTCATCGTCGTTCCGCTTGGACACCTCGTGAAACTTGTATTACTTCGCGACAATTACATATCTTTCTCTATTATCTCGGAAATATTATATAATTTGGCGTCGTTATATTTTTCGTGCAATCTTACCAAGGGAGAGATGGACGATAACACGGACACATTTCTTCTTCTTTGTTTACAAATTGGCCTCCCCTCCCCCAGCCCAATTGGGGTTACGAGACAAGGGCCCGGCCGGCAGATTCGAGCCTGATTATCCTGTGACGTTACGTAAAAACTCGTTTCCCTTGATGACCCACATCCCCTTTTCGTTCATCTCTCCCGTTTAGAGGACCAGCCGCGTTATCTTAAAATACACCGAGGCGAGAGTCGGTCGAGCGCATCCCTGGACAATAATTATCCAAGCTTCGTCCGGGATCTCGACACCCTGAATTCCATTGTGGAACCTTCGCCTCGTTGGACAAGTATTAACCAAGGTAAACCACTCCTGACCACTACTTCTTCGACCCACTAACCGGAGAAAGGCCCCATCTCCAAAACACGCTCGCGCCTGCCCATTACATTATTATTATCCCGTGAACGTGGATGTTTGTCATCGCGTGTTTCGCGATGATACTTGAAAAATATCGGCCGATCCCTCCTCGCCCCGAAATAATAAATTGCGAACGATGCAGAATTTCACGTGTAAAGTTGCAATAAGGTAATCGATACGCCCTAATTATACACGTAGACAGAGAGAGATCGACGACCGGTTTGAAGGTCGGTGAAAAGATTTCATTGTAACCATTGCGGTGGCCATTGTAAAAGGGAGTTGCACGTTGAACGAATAATCAATTTCCGGCTTCCTTCATTGTCGATGCATCGTGATCACACTCGCCACGACCTTCCTTCTGTAACTTTATGGCGATAGAAATTTTCTTCTTCGAAGAGTGGGGCCGATAGACTGTGCGTGACCGAGGTTCGTATTATACGTAAGAAGGAGACGATACCACCCACGCGAACCATCCCGACGAAAGAGGAAGCTAATATTTAAACAGCGTTGAATTACACGTTGAATCGCGTGTATGATCGAGAAACGGAGAACTTTCGCGACGGAACGAGAGTAAATCCTCGAGGAACGGAAGCGTACTTGACCCTGGCTTTATCGGTTGAACGCGAGGTGGAAACCCACTTCTCGATCTTCGTTTTCGGGGCGGGGGCTCGAGGAGGTTCGACGAACGGCGGAACTATCCCTTAACCTTGGGTGGGGAATCGTCTTCTTATTTACCTAGAGAGCGTATTAGAGAATGCTTAATAATCGCGGCTCGGTCAGAGGCAGGTGGTGGTGGCTTGACCGACTTTTAAAGAAACCTTGGGGGGAGTTGGGCGGCATCTTCAGTTAGACATTGGACTCCGTCGAAGACGAAGAGTCGGAAAAAAACAGTCGGAGGGTGCGACGCAAGGGAGAGACAGACGCTCGATTATCATCGATTAATGATATAACAATCAACTGTCAAGAAATTTTCCTCTGCATTCTTTCCCTGCCTCCGTTGTGCACAGGTCAGTGTAAAATCTCGTGAATTAATATTCTCGCTCGTGTCCCTCGATTCGATAATTTTATTTCTCTCTTTTCTCTCATATCTCTCATATCTCGTTTCAAATTCGAACTAGAGGAGACTATTCTTATATAGATAGATCTTTGAATGGTGGTAAGGACATACCTACGCGTCCCGGTCACCGTTTCCTCGCGACCCCACAACGATGTTAACCGCATAAAGACGATTGGACGCAGCACGTGCGTGCTTCCTGGAGCGCGTTGTTCGAACCGGTAAACCTTCTCTGGAGAGACGTCTTTGGCCGTGACCGTGATTTTAGGTCAACCGGTCGCGGAAACGAGAAGTAGTTAGCGCTCGTCGCCGCGACGAGTCCATCGGCCGAAACAAGAGATGATGAATTCTCGTTACGAGAATTTCAAAAATCGATCGTTTCACCGCACGTTTCATCGACAACTCCGACCGATTTAATCGAGTTAACGAACGAGAACACTCGCACGTGGCCGTTTCGTTCGAATGTTGTTGGGGAGAGCATTTTGAGATCCGGCGACTCTGCACGACAGAGGCGTTCCGTTAGCTTTCTTGCCTGTCTGGGTCGATTTGTGAACGATCGTGAGTCCGGAGAGACGGCGAGAATTTCGCGGGTAAAACGTTTTGTATGCATAACCGATTAACCGCTTTCGAGGCGGAATAAAGAATGGTGAATCGCGGACGGTGTACTTTTCGTGGAAATGAAAAGATGGATGGAAGAAGATAGGGATTGGTCGAATGTCGACGCGCCTCGTTATGCAAAAATTCTTTCCTTTGAACGTGTGCCGTACAACAAAAACGGGGGAAAGCGTTAGAATGTTAATTACACGATCGTGTTTCTTCGCGAACAATGCGATGCGATAGACACGCGTATGAGCGTATATTTGGAATACAAATCGTTCGTGGAGAAGGAACAAACGTCGTTGACGATACCCTGTTGTGCGTTACAGAACGAAAACGAAGATGCGGCTGTCGATGGTGGTCGAACTGTTGCTCATTCTTCTTCTGGTCGCGTTCGCCGCTTATGGCAGAGTGATCGGTAATTATTTTTCAAGATTCTTTTCTTTTTTTTTTTTTTTCGAGATCGTTAACGCCAATTCCTCTAATGACCTCGTAATTTCACTCGAAATTGTTGGCTTCCTTGTTGCCAGAAAAGGAAACGTTTCATTGAAGGATTGGAGTTAACGAGAGATAAATTTGGAGCGGGTCATCTCTCGTTCTTTAAAAGTCGAATAAAATTTGATTTGAAAAATTTACATTGTAAAATTAAAACGACGTGACGTTAGAGATATATTATAACTCGAGGTTGGAGGTATAATCGATGATTATTAATCCGACAGAACGCGATGGAAAAACGGAGGAGAGATCGATGGGGAATGCGAGGGAGGATAACCTTGGAATATCAACGTTGTCGTTGAAACAGGCGACCGACGATGTGAACAGATATTGCACCTGCAACGAGAACATATGTAATTGTTGCAGAGACTTCCATATACCTTTGGTGCAATTACAAGGACCAGGTAGGCATTGTGTAATTTAATTGAACGTAATAGAACGCGGCCACTAGAAAGCATAACAATCGACGAGACGAGACGATGAATGGATGTCACGTTACACTTATCCTCCCTGTGCGTCCGATAAAAAACGAGAACAATCGTTTCACGGAATATCCTTCTTCCTATTTCGTTTCCAGGATGCGCATCCTTGCAATACATACAAGGGGACAATTTGGCGGTACAACTTAGCTTCGGAGATAACATCTTAACCAGCACCATCGTAAATGGTAAGTAAACGCTTGCGCCCATTCCTTTCTTTCTTTCTTTCTTTTCTTGATCCGTGTGAAAATATAACATTCAGAATTGCAACAGGATATTCCAGATTCCCTCCCCCCCCCTCTCTCTCTCTCTTGGAAGCTCCTGTCACGTTCGGAAAATTGATTCGATTGAAAAGTATGTTAATAGTATTCGATCGACCGTTCGATCTTCGAAGAATAAATCGAAGACACGCGTTTCGACTTTCACCTAATATCTGTATCGTTAGATATCGAAAAATCAAATTTCTCCTCTGAACTTGTTCCCTGTGAACCGAATCAACTATAACTTTTATAATAAATATAAAATATTTATAACGTGTGAACGTCGTTCGATCGTTACGAATCGAAAAAACGAACGAAAGAAACGAGAAGATTAGAGATCTCCGATACGAGTAACAAGTTTCGCGATTTGATCGATTTTTAGGGAAAAATCCGAGGCCCGTGTGCGTCCCGTTACCAGGAGGATTTACGAAATTCTGCGGCAGAATTTATTCCATTAAACGGGACGCCAAGAATCATTTCAAAGCCTGTCTTGGGCTGGAGTTACAATCGTCGACCGAGCTCGAAGCTAGCTTACGCGTCAGCTGTTTCAGGTATTACGAGATGTTATTGTACCTCTGACAAATTGAATAGAACAGAAATTACAAAAATGTGTTGAAGTTGCAAAACGAGATCGCGATACATTTTACAGATTTGGGCCGGACGGTCTCAAGTTGCGTCCAGCGGAGCCGCTTCCTGTAGTGGAGACCGAGGTCCCGGACGAAGACGACGACGACGATTTCTTCGGCCTTGACTCGGACGAGGACGACGAAGACGAGGACGACACGCCGTTGGCCAACGCCGTCCCAGATTCCTCCTCGGCGGAAGAGGACGAGGACGAGGACGAGGACGAGGATGTCCTCGGGTTCGGGGCCCTTTTGGACATTATTACCGGCGAGGACGAAACAGCGACGAAGAAGCCGAAAGTAACCACGCCCGCGCCTCTTCTCCAATTTACCATCCCCATTTTAACGAAACCGACGCCTTCGACGTCCGTGAATTCGAACGTTGGAGGTGGCGCCGGCAACTCGGAAGAATTCTCGAACGCGGATGAGGAAAGCGTTAACGACGAGGTGGACGGCGACGAGTCAGCCGTGGACACCGAAACGACGGTTAAAGAAGTAGCCGTGACGGAGGCCTCGAATAAGATAGCGAAGCCGGATAAAACACCGACGAAGAAATTGACGAAGAAGCCGAGCGAAGTTACGAGTTCCAGCATCAATGCGATCGAGAACGAGGCGGATAAGAGGAGGAAACCTTTGAGGAAGAAACCTGTGAAGGGGGAAGAGGATGACGACGATGATATCCTTGGGGACGGCCTCGACGACGACGACGATGAGGACGATGAGGACGAGGAGATTTTGAGCGACGACGAGGACGACGATGAGAAGAATAGCGAGGAGGAAGAGGAGGAAGACGAGAAGAACGATGAAAGCGAGAATCACGAGGACGAGGACGAGAAAGCTGAGATCGAAGATTTGGATGATGACGATGACGAGGAAGAGGATGCGGTAATCAGTGCGCTGGTTTATGATGATAAAGAAGATGGAAAGAAGAAAGGCAAGGTGAAGAAACACGATCAGTCGTCTGAAACGGACGACGATGACTCGGATTATGGGTTGGGTCTCACCGGCCTTCTAGCGAGAAACAGACATTCGAGAAATAATCGTCAGAGCAAAGAAATGAGATTTCCGATGATTGGAAATTCAACTCTCGTCCTAGAGTCGTAGAATAATTAAAGATTTATTGTGTGACGATGTTTTTTTTACAAAAAAAAAAAAAAAAAGAAAAACTTGTAAAAGATCTATTGACTTTTTGAGCAACGTTTAATTAACTTAACATTTGTTGAACGTTTTTGTTAAATCAATGAATTATCGTTGATGTCACGAAGTGTGTATGGAGACTGATAACTTTTTTTCTTTCATTTTTCTCTTCTTTATCGAATATATTATTATCTATAAGCGTACAAATTAATTAATTAAAGAAAAATTCAAATAATGATTGAGATAAGAGAAAAAAACAAAAAAGTTTATTATAAATTTTTATTAATATATATGATATATAATTATATTTTTTTTTTATATAAATGATAAAATATGATAAAATCATATTTTAAATAAATATATGATAAAGCATATCATCTATTATCTCAATTAGGAGGTATTATGTGTATAACATAAGCCATATAAATTTGTGCAAATAATGTAATTGTTTTTAATTGTAAGTCGATATATATTTATTTAATTAATTTATTGAACTTGTAAGTAAATTTATCGAAAATAAACTTATAATTTCACATAATGTTATTATATGTATCTGCTTATATATATGTATTTGTAATTAATGATTCAATTATCTTTGAATCGTTCTTCAACAATCAAATCTTGACGATTGTTGTTATCTTTTCAGAAATCATTCTTGCCATATCTTCAATCCTATCAATATTACTTTCTATTAAAATCAATTTAATTTTAGTGTTCGATCTGAATCGTTGGGCGTTATCAAATTTTTTCCTTGTGAAAATCATGTTGTACAAATTGTTCAACGTTCTTGTGATATTTTTAGTGATACAAACTATTTGTACCGCCACGTACACGAATATATCCGAAGAAAATTATCTCGATATCCAACAGATAGGTAATTAATTATTTTTATAAGGATCGACAAATTTATTTCAATTAAAATTTAAACACTAACTAAACTAATTTAAGATATTCCGTTCCGTTTCATTTTCATATTGTATTCACGATCAAATTTATGCAGAAGAGATTGAAAATTTGTTGACGTTCTACGATTTAAAAACTGGAATTCCGTTGAAAGAAGAATCGATCGATTTAAAGAAAGATGGATCGATCTCTACAACCGTATATAGTGCGGGGTGCTCTTGTGAAAATTACAGTTGCGGTTGTTGCGTAGGTATCAAAATATTATGGATCAAGGGCCCATTGTGTCTCTCGGTAGGTATTGATGTTGGAAATATCTCCATTTTTATAAAATTGACCATGAATAAAAAAACGATCATCTCCAAAAGCATATCTTGTAAGTATTTTCTTTTTTTCTAAAAAATATCCGGATATAATATAATATTTGTTCTAAATCGAATTGAATTTTGATACAAGAAATATCTTATATGTTACAGTAGTGGATCCTGAGATATGTATAAAAATTAAATTTTCAAAACTCCATCTTGCAACATTTTGCATTCAATTACATACTTCTATTTCTAACCATCATCTGCATTTTTGCACCGAAATAAAAATTAAAATTTTGTTCTTCAAAACTAAAAGAATTCAATTCAATTGCCAAAACATGCAAACAAGGAATATTAATTGGGATAATTTCGCACTGGAATTTGTTCAACAGACAAAGCCAAAAGTCACCGAAGTCATCTACGACGAAGTGGATTTTGATCTGCAAGATTTCGAGACTTGTATCAATCATGCATTAGCATTGATTCCCGAAGAAGCATAAATTCAACAAGTTAAAGTTGTAGGATAAAAATTATCCATTAATGCCCATTAAATGCTGAAAAAAAAAAATAAACACTGTGAAAGATTTGCGAATTAGACTCCCTCGTTGATTTCTTTTGTTTTTTTTTCTTTTGATTCCAAAAAAATTATCAAGTTATTCTCTGCAGTTGATCGTTGATTGTTCAATTTAAGGGATTATTCCAAATACAAGATTATTCGAGTAAAATTTCTACATTATCATATATTGTTATTTAATATTGTTTTAATATTTCGGACGAAAAATAGTCGATAAATAAATGACATTTTTATACCAAAAACGTACAAAGTTTTCTATCTACTGTCTGCTCTAGCAATCGTCAGCGCGTGCCGTAGGTTTTTCGCTTTATTTCCTTAATCGGATTATCACGGAGATTCAATAGAAAATGAAATGTGACCAATACCAAGCGAACCTAAATTTCTCCATAAAACGAGGTCGAAGTAAGATATCCGTTAACTGACCAGTCGAGTGTCGAACGTTCAACAAGAAATACTATCTATCATACGAAGAGATGTCCACTCTTGGTGATTAAGATCGATTAAGACCTACCTAAGAACGAGAAATGAGGGCCGCCTATTGGTTGTTGTTCCTCGTTGTTCTTTGTATTCAAAGCTCGTTTCAACGGCTCGACAAAAGGATTATTGATTCGGAGAAAAAATCAGAAATATCCTTGAAAAATGACGAATTCGCGCATACGAAGAAAGAATGGAACATGAAGAAGTTACAACAACTGTTGAAACAGGCGACGAATTCTTCCTTGAACGCGATCAACCAGGTGACTGCCACGAGTCAAGGTCCCTGTACGTGCGGAGGAGGTGTTTGCTCTTGTTGTTCTAGAATTTTATTCGACACTTGGAAACAGAAGGCGTGTGTGGATGTGACGTACGATCCGGATGAATTTAGCTTCACGGCAAAAATTTCTATGAATGACAATGTTTTGTACTCGAGAACCGTATCTTGTACGCTTCATTCATAAATTATATCGATTATTAAACTTTCTTTTCATTCACAGACTTACGTTTGCGAATGTTTCCAGGGAAAAATCCTCGGCCAATATGTGTACCAGTGCCACGACTTCAATTTATCAAAGCATGCGTCCGATTTTATAACATTTATTTCCAAGGTAGGAATATTCATACGTGTGTGAACATGGAGGGGAAGTTTAGAGATATCACGATATTTAAGGTAAGATATAAATTTAAGATAGATTCGACGTTCGAAAAGGAAAAAGGAAATCTCTCTTTTCCTGCATCTTTTATGAATAATGCATATATTTCCAGGTCGGATTAGATTGCATTAGATTCGGTGCAAACGGCTTGGCACTGGTAAAACCAGAGGATGGAGGTGGATTAGGTCAAATAGAATTCTTGCCAGGTGACGATGATGAGGATGAGGACGATTATGATTACGACGACGACGATGACGACGACGATGATTTACTTGATTTCTGAGGAAACTTAAGATTCTGTTCGTGACAAGCGCGAAGGACTTGATAGTACAATTACACATTTCTAATGACATTGCGTGATGACAAATATTATTTATTATATTTTATTTTTATAGATAAGAATTTAATGCGACGTTTTGATTGTAAAATAATATACATAAGAGATTTTTATTGCAATCAAGTTTTTCAATATAATTTTACATCGTATTCAAAATATCGTATTGAACTATTGAAAATAATGATATTATGTTATTAGGAAAAATAGGCAAATAAAGAGTTATATTCAAAAGCTATTTTTTTCTATTATATCTCAATAATTACATCCTGCGGAGCAATCACCGTGCCCAGGTAGCATTGTTTAATAAAACACAAATTGTTTATACTGGTTAGTATAACTGTGACAGGAGAAACCTATTTATGTTGTAGAATCAAATGTGTTACGGTGAAAAATTTCATTGAAAAAAAACTAAAATGAATTCTAAAGTATGTGGTGTCCTGATTTCATTCTGGTTGCGATTACTCTTTTATTGGACGGGCGGTGCTGCGAAAGAAAGTTAGTTACTTACTTTTTGTTTCTCGTTTGATATAATTATAAAAGTTAAATTTCACATAATTTTTAATCATGTTAATTTATTATAGGATCTCTTATATTTAATGGATTCTTGCCTTATAGAACGATTCAAACTTATCAGAAATATTGTACCTGTGAAACATCTTATTCTTGTTCCTGTTGTCAAAATGTTATTATTTTGTATACCAAAATTGAAAAGAATCGTAAGTATTTGATCATTTATATTAAATATTATTTCGATACGTTTCTTATTCGTTTCAATCCAATTATTTTCAAGTTATCGTTTTAATCTATTTCTTTAATCTTATTTTTACTTTGTACAGTTTGCGTTAATTTTACATATCAAAGAAATGGATTGAATATTGATATCACGTTGAATACCGACATGTTAAGAGCTAGAACAATCACGGATTATAAATCATTAAAGTTTTGCACTAATATACCAGGATGTTACTTCTCATCTGCATGCATAAATATATTGGAACTCAATAAATTTCCCAGGTATGGCATACTTGAGTGTAATTCTTTTATAATCGAGTTATATAATTTTTATTAAATTTTTTTTAAATTTGAATCAAAGATCGATCACTGCTTGTCTTCGATTGGACATTTTCTCTAAAAAACGATTATGGCAATTAAATTATGACTGCGTCGGCATATCAACAGAATTGCCTACAATACCAAGTAATGGAACGATGTCAACAACAACGGCTGGAACTACAGAAATGGGAGGAATGTCTACGACGATGAGCACTGGAATGACATCAGCAATGACCACTAGTCAAATAACAACTACTACGACGATGATGACAACGACGATAAAAAGTACAGAGCGTACTACATCACGAGATGTAGAAGTGATAACAGTACCGGGAAATGAATCAACAACGGTCGTGGATATCGATAAATAATTATTATAATAGATCAAACAGTCTATTATTCTAGATAAAAATTAATCAATAATTTGGTTTAAACGTAAAAATTGCTTTTAATAATTGCTATAAAGAAGACTATTATGGTATTATAATTAAAATATACAAAGGATTCGTTAAAAAATTTATAAACTAAATTTATTTATTAAGATCATATCTAAAATGCAAATAATAATTATCGTTTTCTCTCATATGTCCATTTATAAACAGGAGCAGAATCTTTTGATCCTTTCTTTACTAATTTTGGTTTAGTAACTTTTTTATCTTTCAGTGCTCTTTCTATTTCCAATTTTTGTTGTAAAATAGTCAATTCTTTTTCTCTATTTATCCTTTTATGTAATTCTTGATAAGCTTTGTGTTTACTACGTTCAATTCTTTTCAAACTATTTTCATCTATTTCTGGTAATTTCATATCTTTTAATCTACTTAATTTTGGTCTGTTTGTGCGTCTAGATAATAATGCTGGATGTGTATCCAATTTTTTAGCAATATCAAAGTTTTTGATTTCTTCTGAACCATCTACAAAAAAGATATGTTTGTTCTTTGTCTCATTTGCAGCATCTATCATGTGCAATTCACTTTGTAGTCTATCTATTTTCTTTGCTTCTAGATTTCTCTTATAAGCAATATATCTAATATCTTGTGTTTCCATCAAGTGTATCTGTTCCGGCGTATACTCTTTATGTTTTCGCTTCTCTTTATGAATCCCACCATGTATTTTAGAATTGATCATGTGAAAATAAAATTCATCTGGATTTTTATTAAGAGCACGTTTACGCAAAAGTTTCAAAGTTTGTTGTTTCTCTTGATAATCTTTAGCTCTAGCAACATAATCTTTCTTTTTCTCCAAAAGACCCAAATGTTTACGATTCTCTGGTTGATGTCTTTCACGATGAGTCTTTTGCGTAGCTTTGGCTGCTTTTTTCCACGAAGACATTGTTACAACTAAAAGAATTAAAAGAAATATTTAAATAAATCGAAATCAAATTCTGCTTTCTATTAACCAAAAAAATATATTTACAAATATATATTGAGTTTTAATGATAATATAATTTTAATTAAACAATAATATACTTAAACACACTGCACGACTAAATTAATGTTATTAAAACATTATATTTTTTAAAATAAAATTATAAAATGAACATTTTAACATTACAGAACATAACCTCAATCATCGATTCGATATATAATCAATATGATTGTAATGCAGCGCCACAGGAACTAAAGAATTCAAATCATTTAATTATTTGATTTATTAAAAATAGTTAAATTTTATAATTTTTAAAACATTTAATTTTTAAAATATATCAAATTAAAAATAATCTATAACAACAATGAAATGATATATAATCAAAATAAAAAATATTTCTATAGATATTATTTTGACAATATTATTTATGCAAAAATATAAATTTATAATTCAATAATTCAATATAATAAAATATATCGTTTTTTAATAAAATATCATATTTTGAGATCAATTGTTAAAATTCAAATTATTATCAAATATATTATTCGGTTTGCGTAGATTGATGTGCTCTATCGGGAAGGGGCAAAACTGTATTGCCAACCGATAATGAACCCTGATGGAAAACTTGAGTTTCTAACGACACTCTTCGAGGAGGTCTATTATTTTTCATTCTTGCAATTGGTTCACGCGCTTTAATTTTATACCACCCACATTGACGTTTCGCGATAGGACTTCTTACTTCAATCTGAGGAATGACAAATTCTGTTGATTTTTTCGTGGGTGAACTTTCTATAGCATCCCTTGATCGTTTTCCTGGTCTTTGAGATAAGGATGACGCAAAATTTGATAAGAAATCAAAAGTATCTGAAGTGGAGGATGTTGGGCTGTCTTCATTTTTAGAGATTTCACTTGTAACAGTCTTGGAGGAAGCCATAGCTGCAATGATAAAAAAAGAATGGAATGATAATAATTTTAATTAAATTAATTTTAAATATATTTAAATAATATAATTATATACATACTGGAAAAGTTTCTCATGACACTTTTAACTGCGTTAGTAACTACGGATAAAATCCCACCAGTATTACTGCTATCAGAATTACTATTCGACGAAACATTCGAATCTCTTTGAGAAGAGTTACTTGATTCGCTCAATGGTGAATTAGAGACACTGTAATAACTATCTATGGATGTTATTGAATTGCAACTAGAAGAGCTTTGGTTGTTGTTTGTAAAATTTGAAGTGATATATTTCAGTTTTTTTAAACTAGTATCAATTACATCAGAAGTTGAAACATTAGAATTATTCTCTACTACTACCATCATTATTATTCGCGAGGAACTGGATGCTTGTTCATTATTATCGATTACATTCACTTTGCTCGGATTATGATTTTCTTTTTCTATGTTCTTCGCATTATCCTCATAAATTTTGATCTGTGATTTGTGTTTCTGCAAAGATTCCTTCATCTCCGATAACGTCTCGCATGCTTCGAAGTATTCTTCATTTTCTGTTGTCGAGTTAGGCTCCGATGGATCCTCATATTGATCAGAAAATCGAACTTTCTTTGTAGAATCTGATCGTTTCTCCCCTTGATATTTATCCGTACCTTGAGAATCTGGTAATATTTCATCTTCGATATTAGTTAATTCCATATCTTCTAATTCGCAATTATTGGAACATTCAGTCGGATTGATATTATCTTTCATGTTATCCAAGTTTTTAGATTTATTATGGGAAAATTCCTCTTTATTTTCGTATTTCGATGGCACGGAATGGAAGGGAGTTTCCTCGTGAGTGGTAGAAGGAAAGATCACGTAATTGCTACTCGAATTGTCGCACTTCGAATTATTTTCTTGCAAATCGCTACGAGTTTCACTGTTTTTAGACGATGCAGAATTAGTTACTGGTGTTTTTAAAAAGAAGTTCGAAACGTTGGGTGTTTTAAAATCGAAACTCGCCTTTTGTCCCAGGATCATAGGCGTGCTAGTATTTCTATGAAGTTCTGGTGGTGAGGTCAGTGGAGCGCAATTATCATTAAACAAAGGCGATCCCGATTCTTCTGAAGGTAAAGGTGGTGTCCCTATGGATTTCTGCTCTCCAGATACTAGCGAATGACGCTGAGATTTCCACCATTTGCAAGAACCTTTAGAAAATATTACGTATAGAATCAATGGATGAACAAAGCGTTCTTAACGATTCACGCCACACAAATTTCAATTTCAATGTTCACACAGAATTATTACTCGCGCTCGAAATCGTTCCGCATTCTTAAAGGATCATACACATAGCATACATTTTTACTGGAGATAAATAAATCTTCAAGCACCCTATTATCATAAATCTACATGGATTCTTAGAATCATTCTCTCATTCAATTCTAAATCTTTAAACATTCGATATCTTTCTCTCGATTCGTCAATTATTCGTTCTACACTCATTCTACATTCATCCATTTATATTAAAAAAAAAAATTTCGTCTATTTAATTATCAATTCTTTAAACAAAAATAAAAATAATTACCGAACGATTCAAAATCCTTACTCTGCTTGAAAACTTCACCACACAAGCAACAATGAAGAGGTAGATGTGTTATTACTATGTGACAGAGAAGTGCCTTATCCTCGAAGAATTTTAACGGAAGTTTCTGATTCATGCAGAATGGACAGTTCGGGTAACGTTTTGTGTGTTTCTTCTCCTCATGTCGTTCACGGCATTGCGCGCAGCAAAATAGTTTTTTGCACACGTAACAAATTCGGCTTATCTGTTTGATATGAAACTTTTATAACAACAGATAAAGATTGTACATTTGCCTTTCAAAATGTTGAGAAGTATAACTAGAAAAATCTATGGATAGATACCTCGGTCAGAATCATAGTTAGATGAGGTCGTCGCAACTGTAACGCAGTGTTTACTATCATATAATCGTATATCATAGCCATCACAATATCGAGTATATATAGAAAAAAATTGTTTGTAGCCACGTGATATTTGTTTGAAATATTGCATATATATATATAAGAATAGTTAATTTGGTTGATATTGATATTATTAACGGAAAAATAAAAATTTGATAACAAATAAATCATTCGAGTTTCATTCTTTAAATATTGATTATTTCTATTATAAAGATATAGAATAAAAGTAATCTTTAGAAAATCAAGGATATATGCATATCTATAGGTTGTTATTAATATATTAAAAACATTTATAGCTAAAATTATATATATAATATAAAATCATATGCACATTTTTACATGTTATCACTATCTTTATTTTTAGATTCATCAAATAATTCGGTGGACATTAACTTGTCAAGTCCCAATATATCTTCCTCGCTATCATCTTTTTTATCTTGCAATTCGATCCTTTTAGTTTCATTTATGTCTTTATGTTTTTGCTTCGCTTGTTTTTTAAAGTCCTCAATAGTCATTGAACTTAGATTATCTACAACTACATTAACGTCGAATCTTCTGAAATCGGTATCTCTATCCTCCATCAAACTGAGTGCTTCTTTGTAAGGTGGTGAAATCGGTGTCTGCACCGGTTCGTGGTAAATGTATTCTTTTCCTTCGAACTGAAATAAGTAAAAAATAAATAACACAATTTCACGTAATAAAAACAAATGCAAATAACTTACATCCAATGGATAACACGTATCAGAATCAGGTTGACTAAGATCACCACAAACAACAAATGGAACAATAACTCTATTAACTCCTGTAAGCTCATTAAAATCACATGGCTTATGTGTTAAGAGAGGATTCATCATATGAGGTTTATAACCTTCTGGTGGTGAATAATCTTTACAAACTACGAATGCTTCAATACTAGAGTTACGCGAACTGCTAGGTTCGTACAATAGACATAGGGAAAAAATATTTTCAATTGAGCATATAGCAATGTCACATCTTTAGCTCTAAATATTTTTGCTACAAATGTGCCTCCTTGTCTTAGTATGTGAGTAGTAATATTCAAAGCTGCTAATAACAACTGAGATTGGATATAAATATCCATATCATGTAAACCTGTCACTATAAATAATTAATTATTAAACACTATTAATGTTCAGAAATAAAAATATTACTCCAATTTAATAATTACCATCAGGTGCTCCATCGCAAACTACTAAATCGGCTTGTTCGTTATCAAAATGGGAGATAATTTGTTTTGCAGTGTCAATATTCGTAATATCTCCTTGAATTTGAATCACTCCTTCCAATGGTGCCATAGCTTGTAAATCAACTGCAACTATTTTTGGAGGTATTGCATTTCCTGCTTCCAAAGCTTTTTTATAATTCTCACTGTCCATGAAAAAAAGATATATTCATTATTTAAATTCAAAAAGTTTAATTTATTTGAATTTGCAAATAATTAAAACATACTTTAATCTTCGTGATAAAACTTGACTCCAACTACCGGGTGCAGCGCACAAATCTACAGCTTTGTTTACTCCTTTTATAAAGCATAAAATAGAGCATTGTATTTTAATTCCATAATATAGAAGTTATTATGTATGTATACGAACCATCCAAAATATGACACTCGTTATCTATTTGAAGCAATTTAAAAGCACTCCTTGCTCTCCATCCTTCTTCTTTCGCTCGTCGATAATATATATCTCGTTTATCTTTTGATGTTTTCCCCATTGTTGATCAATATACAATGCTTATTGTTTATTTTTATTGATCGTTACACGTTTTGGTTAGCTTTAGTTACTATCATGTTGATAAACATGATATTCTAGTGGAAACTATATTTTATAACTATATTTTAGAGTTAAGTAGTTGGTATCACTAATTACAGAATAACCGCCAAATTCAACTTAAACTTGTTTAGTCAATGTTTATTATCGTATATCGTAAATACAAATACTCTATGTATTTCATAAGATTTTTTAGATAAGGAAATCATATTTTGAACTATGATGAAAGATAAATGTTGACAAATATGAAACCAATTTTGTATTTACTCTTTAAATATTTTTCTTTTATTCTTAGCAAACACGTCATCAAAGAAAAATATTTTCACAAATATTATTAAAGTTTCTATAAAGCGTAACGAAATGCCGACAAATGAAGTAATTGAAATAGAATAAAAACATTACGTATCGAAGATTTATAGATTCTTCCAATTATAACTTTTGTGCATCCGTTCATTGGAACCAATTATACGATTTCCAATCAAATAGCAAAAAATAGCCATGATGAAAACAATCATTATTATTTCCAACTGCAATAATGACACGTTATAAGAAATATTTTAAAATAGTATTGTAAATCTTCTCAATAATAATTACATTAATTTTCCAATTTCAAAAGGAATTTCTGTTTCAATAATAAAAACGATACATATAATTATTATTATTAGAAATGTTTAATTCATTCTCTTTTTACAAAAGAGGAATAGTTTTTTTAAAATCTTATTTCAATAATCAAATAAAAAAATTCATTTTTTGCTTTATCTTCCATTATATATATATATGTATGTATAAAATTACATTAAACGATTATCAAAGAATTTTCGCACATAGCTAATGTAGACCTGGTATTTACTTGAAACGTAAGTCGACTAATGCTATTCTTACATAATCGTGTATTTGCATATTCCCACGAGACTTGGACAATTTTATGCTTAATTTTTCGCAGGTGAATTAAACGTATTCACCTTTATGGAACTTTGCTTTAATCGATTTGCGTTGCAAAATCTATTTTTTACAGATGGCTTTTTCGAACTTTTGTGGTGGCTCAATGGTGGCGTTTATTTTCATGCGTCAACCAGTGAATTGATCGTTTGTTTTTCGTTATATTCGTCGTATTACGCATCGTATCAGCGAAAAATCTATACGAAGGGGGGAAAATGTGTGCATAAAAAGAAAGGTAAGGAGTTATCGTCACTATGCACATTTTTTGGCCCGATAAGATGCAGATACGCGATAGATAAGATTGCATCAATAGTACATAGTCGATGTTTTCTGTCGATATTGTTCATTCTTGAAACGAGGTTTTTAACGAATTTACAACCAATGAATTTTAAATCAGACATGGCGTCCATTTTTTCCCCCAATTTCTGATATATCGATTTTGTAGTCATGTATATATATATACATGATTATATATATAATTAATGCGTGTACGCAATACGTGTTCTAAGCGAGCCTCTTTATTATCGACTTTTGAAGACCTTTGGTATTTAGCGCACGGTATTTAGTATTTAGAGATAACTTGAGCCACTACTTGGCGACAAGAATGTAAATAGTAATTGCAATCGAAAAAAACGGTTATCGTTTTATCATATCGATCAGTCTCGCCTCTCGTTGATGATCTCATTCCAGATTCTATCAATTGTTATAAAATAAAACAAAGCTCGAACGAGAGCGCTGCACGAAAATCAAGAATTCGATTCGTTGAAAAGAAAGAAAAGAAAAAAAAAAAAAAAAAAGGAAAAATTAATTTTTCTAGAAGAATCGAAATTATCGATTTATTAGATGACAATCGTATCAACTGATCCTCCACGGTGCTCTACGTATACGTTTACAGGTCGAGCTACAGTACACTTACCAACGATAACGTTCGAGAGGTTATCGCAACGCCATGCCAGAAATAATTGCTCCTTAGCGTGAACAATAGTTCCCCTCTCGTGGAATAGATAAATACATATTCGTATGCGTTATGAATCGCGTTAACGAGCAGTACGTCTCGTCGTACTTTGCTTAACTGGAGAGTTTGTTGTTCGCGAGTATTACATAACGCGGAGAGGAGCGAATGTAATATCCGCGCATCTCGGCCATGCATCGTCGCGTGTCCAAATAAATTGTACGTAGATTCGTTCCATTGTTGCGCGCGAAAATCGTTTCACAGGGGAGGGGGATCCAACGACCCCCTCCTAGAACGACGTTCACGTGGATCCGGCATATTAAGATGCACAAAATCGAGATTTTGCAATTGAAAACGACCAAAATTATTATTTTTGACGAGTATGCTCCACTCTGCTCGCCCTCTTCCAACTCCTCTGATAACTCCTTTGCTCCCGTACGACAGCTAGTTTCTTCAAAAGATATTGGCTTAATATATTTCATCAACTGTGACCTTAATCGAGCGATTTTGCAACGAGCGCCTTCCCGTGCCGGGAACACTTCTCGCCGCTTCGAAACGAACGATGAAAGAAATTCATTCCGTCAACGCAAGCGTGCAAGCTTAACCAAACTGCGTGCAACCTCGTCTAAAAATACAATGGCGCCTTAGGAGATTCCCTCCGATCAATCTTCTAGGATTACATAGATAGGGAACAAAAGGGCAGCTGGAATTTAAGTAGATTCGGTAAATGGAATTCATTTATCCCACGACAAAAGATCGTGGAAAGATCGTGTGTATAGTCGTTTTCGTTTGATCCTCCAATGAATTTCCGCCCGGAATGTACGAAATATTGTTATGCGCGATGCGGAGAAGGTCTCCGCGGAGACAGCCCTGACACTGTTTTCTCTAGGAAGAACACCGTTCTGAATTAATATCGTTTGACATTGCTCGACTAATAAAGAGCCCGACTCGTAGGAAATTACGACGGCCTTTCGAGATATTCGAGCAACCTCGAAATGGCCGATCCTGCTATTCGAAGGGGATGGGTTTCATCGATGAATGATCACACATTGGCACGATGTCAAGCTGGCAGCATAATCGTTCGATCATATATGTATATATGAATTATATTGTTCGTTATCGGATTGAATCTGAAAAGTAATCTCGACGATTATCGATATGTTGTGGCCGATAAAATGCGATCGATGCGAAGAGGGAAAGAAACATGACTCGTTCGTGTGCTATTTTATTCGTAAAGCATGTTTTCTATAAGAATTATACACAACTTTGAAATGGTAATGGATAACGTTGTAATCGACGATGTTAACACGTTACGGTTCACCAGTTAAGGACACCGGCTACGTGGTGACAACCAGTTACAATTGCTCCGTGCGTGTCCGAGAGTTGACCTTCGCTTGTCGCGGAAAACGTACACACGTTTGCAGGAAAATAAGTTGCACGTGTCCGTCACGAAACTGGACCGGTAATTGAGCTCTGTGCGAAACGGAATTAAGAAAGATGACTGCCAGTTTCTTTTACGCGCAAAATTTTCACGGAGAGAACAACCGTGAGCCAATTTTCGTCGGAAGCCGGAAACCTCTCACCGTTTCTTCGCGGTTTCTCCTCGTTTAATTTCCTCGTTTCATCGTGAAAGGTAATATTCGTTTCGCGAAATAAAAAAAAAAAAAAAAAACATCGAGATCGAACGATCATTATTGATATTATCATAGTCATTAGGCGTTAACCATTATCGTCGATACGATCAAATTGGAGGCCATGAATGATAAATGGACAAAAGTTGAATACAAGCTCGAAACAGGGTGCGCTCGGCGTGGGCGGGATGTATGTCTATTTTCAACGAGTGACACAACCCGAGTGTAACAAGGAGTGAATCGCTCTGTTAGGCAATAAAATTCGAACAAAAAAACCGATCACCGAGATTTAAGAGCTATTTAATTCGAGACTGCTCTCCGCTATAATCTCGAATTGAAAAAGAATCGCGTGGGCAGTGTCGGGCAATTATCCAAGGATATATATTCGGATAGAGAAGGGCGAGAAATGAGTGAAAAGGGAGCGAGAAAAAGTTGGAGGAGCCGAGCGAAACGAATCGGCCGACTCGACGGTCGTGAGCCGACTGATCTGTCCGGTGAAATGTTCGGGGGCAGAGTGCGCGAGCGGAATGCTTATTGCCGATCGGCCGAGCCAAACCGAGGCGAGCTCGAAGCGTTTGCGCATGCGTCGGTTTCGTATAACTCGCTGATTTCGCCTCAAGCTTATTTATTTCGAACCTGAGACTCGCCGCGCAACCACGTGCTACGATCGCAGCTGCGACTCAACTCGGTCGGACTGTCTACTCGAGTAATACACAAACGCTTCGATATTCGTTTCTCGATAAATTTTATCGAGCGCAAGTAATTCGTTTCGTTCGAAGGAAAGAAAGAAAAAAAAAAAAAAAAAAGAAATTGAATAGGAATTGAAGAGAAGATAGAGGAGCGAGAGGGAAAGGAGAATAGAAGAAGGCGCGATCGTGGACGCGGAGAAAAGAGAAAAGAAGGAAGAGAGGAGGGAAATTTGCCGCGGTTGACACGAGCTGTTCGAGAAGCGAATCTCGAATTACCTTTTTTTACAGAATCACTACGCCTCGTCGGTGCATCGAACTTCTTCTAGAAGCTACTATACGATAACTGTGGGACGTTCCCGAGCTTATCGATTTTTCCTTTAGGGACAGTTTAAGGGGACTCTGTTTCGGTGCGGTGTGCGACCATCGTTTCACCTTTGCTTTAGAGGAAGAGGAGGAAGAAATTTCGCTGAAGCGAAGGAACTCGTTTATTATTTATCCTACGAGTCTTACGAGTACGAAGAACATCACTGTGATACGATTCGTCAGGATCAGATTTTTACACCTCTGTGATCTGTGTGCTTTGTGATAATCATATTTATTCTTTTACGAAGACTTTTAAATTTATTCGTAGCCCCGATCCAGTAATCCATTATTACGAGAGTCATCGTATTCTTAATCGAGGACGAATAGGTCAACGAATAGGTAAGTATTATATTTATTTTTTTCTTTTTCTTTGTTTTTTCTTTTC